GGGAACAATGTAAACAAAACAAAGTACTGCAGTTTCCAGGAACAATGTAAACAAAACTAAGTACTGCAGTTTCGGGGAACAATGTAAACAAAACTAAGTACTGCAGTTTCCAGGAACAATGTAAACAAAACAAAGTACTGCAGTACTGCAATACCATTTGGAGGTTTCTTTTATATTTTCCTTGTTCAGTGTTGTTAATTGTTTTGGATCGTTTAAAAAATTTCAAGATTTCAAAACTGTATTATATTAAAGTTTGTATATATTTATTATATCTTTAACCTAAAAAAATGGAAAAACACTCTAAAATGAGATCACTTTTGCATCGTTTTTGGATAGTTCATGGAATTGTTTTTGCAAATATCTTTTAAACATTTTAGTGTTTTATGATCATTCGCAAAAGGTTTCTAAATATTTTTAAGATAATTTTTCAGTCCAATTAAGAATTAAATTGTTTATCATGTATATTTAAATTTTTTTACTACAAAATTGCAACTTTTTTTAGAAGATTCTGAAATATGAATAAATATAACTTTTTCTGCCCAAACAAACATATAATACATATTGGAACTCGATTCTTTATAAAAAAAAATAATAAAAAATGCCAAAACTGTGGTAAATAAATCAAAACCATCTTGGTGATTAAAGTTCTCCAGATTTTTTTTTGATTTTTTTACATAAAAATTGTTCAAAGAATTTTGTCTTCCTATGATCGTCGTAAAATTTAAGTTAAATTTGATTTCGTTATAAATAAAATTTTTAAAAACAAAAAATAAAAATATAAATTATGTTTCTGAAACAAGTAAAAGCTTTAAACATTCTAAAATTCTTCCAGGTTCCATCTTTTTTTGATTTTTTACATAAAAATTGTTCAAAGAATTTTGTCTTCCTATGATCGTCGTAAAACGTAAGTTCAATATAATTTCGTTATAAATAAAATGTTTAAAACCAAAAATAAAAATATAAATTATGTTTCTGAAACAAGTAAAACCTTTAAACATTCTAAAATTCTTCCAGGTTCCATCTCTATATAGGATTAGGAAGGATTTCATAAGTGTTTTGACGATTTACAAAATATCAAGATTTTATCCTGAGAGCAAACTTTCTTTGCATCAACAATTTGTATGAATAAAAAACTTCATGGCTATAACTTTGGAAATATATGTAATCATTAATATACTTTGGGAATATATGAAATCATCAATATATACTTTGGGAATATATGTAATCATAAACATACTTTGGGAATATATGAAATCATAAACATAATTTGGGAATATAAAGAATCATTAATATATTTTGGGAAATATGAAGTTTTGAATATACTTCGGGAATATATGGAATCATGAATATACTTTGGGAATATATGTAATCATTAATATACTTTGGGAATATATGAAATCATCAATATATATTTTGGGAATATATGTAATCATAAATATACTTTGGGAATATATGAAAGCATAGATATACTTTGGGAATATATGGTATTTTGAATATACTTTGGGAATATATGAAATCATAAATATTCTTTGGGAATATATGAAATCATAAATATATTTTGGGAATATATGGAATCATTAATATACTTTGGGAATATATGAAATCATAAATATACTTTGGGAATATATGGATCATTAATATACTTTGGGAATTTATGAAATCATTAATATACTTTAGAAATATGTGAAATCATAAACATACTTTGGGAATATATGAAATCATAAACATAATTTGGGAATATAAAGAATCATTGATATACTTTGGGAGATATGAAGTCTTGAATATACTTCAGGAATATATGGAATCATGAATATACTTTGGGAATATATGTAATCATTAATATACTTTGGAAATATATGTAATCATTAATATACTTTGGGAATATATGTAACCATTAATATACTTTGGGAATATATGAAATCATAAATCTACTTTGGGAATATATGGAAACAATAATTTACTTTTGGAATAGATGTAATCATAAACATACTTTGGGAATGTATGAAATCATTAATATACTTTGGGAATATATGAAATCATTAATATACTTTGGAATATATGGAATCATAAATATACTTTGGGAATATATGAAATCATAAACATACTTTGTGAATATATGGATCATTAATATACTTTGGGAATATATGAAATCATTAATATACTTTAGGAATATATGAAATCATAAACATACTTTGGAAATATATGAAATCATAAACATACTTTGGGAATATATGAAATCATGAATATGTCAAAGATGTCAATGCCCCATTTACAACCTTAAAAGCTTTGTCTGATCAGGTATGAATTAGATTTCCAATTTTTGGTTTCTTTAAACGGTTTACTTTCTTTTGTGGTTTCTTTGAAAAAGCAACGAACGCTTTCCTGCCTTTTAGAAGCAACTGAGAAAATATCATGATTAAACAATTTTCGAGTCAGAAAAAACGACTTTATCTTCCACAATTCTATCAGATCAAGGTTTAAAGGATACCGTTGTAAATCGAACATTGCTATTTTTGCATGAAGGGTCATTTGAAATTACGTTTCACTTTAAGGACAGTCCCTTTAAAGAGGACACTGAAATAAATATGAAACATTTCGCTTAAGATGATTGCTCTTATTGCAATCTTACAATGTAAATCTTTATTATTTCAATCTTTAACTATTTGCGCTTGCAGAATTCATAGTTTGAAATACAACCAGAAAACTCTGAAAGAGAAAGTTGACTTTTAGATTCAAGTTATAACTTTAAATAATCTTATCCACATTAAGTATAATAAATGTGCAGTGTAAACAGACCCATTTCACTTGATAACTTAAAAAACTTAACTTAAAAAATCAACACGTCAGGTTGCAAAGATATAGAGATTTAAAAAAATAGATTTGGTGGCGATTAGAAAGCTCCTTTTTACTTTTATCTCGGATTTTCTTAATTTATTGGGGTCAAAACTTTTTTTGTACAAAAGTGTATCATGCGTGTCTTCTGGGCTCTTCTAAACGTGGTCTGCATTCTATATATCTTAAAAATTGACAGAGATATTAAACATTTGAACAATTTTGTTGTTATCGTATAAAAAAAAATCTGGACAGATTTCTTCCGTCAATTTTAAAGGTCCACATTTTAGACCACACTTTGGAATTCCCAAGACCAGTTTTTAGATGTTAATTGCTTTAACTAGGATACTATACTACTAAAATTGTTTTCACGTTATAATACCGCACGGAACAAAGACGATATTGAAGTCGTCACTTAATTCCCATGTTTATTTGGACACCCTGTAGTTGTACGATATCCCACATGTTTTGTAGAAATTAATCCTTTGGTTTAAATTTTGATAAAACTTTAATTAGATTTTCAATTTACAGAAAATACTTCTTTTAACTTTTATTTTGCATAAATCCTATACAGTACAGCATCCCTGAGAAGGGTAAGTCCCAATTTTATTGTATATAACCAAATGTTTAATTTTTTGTTTTTCTTTATCATAAAAAGGTCTTAAAACACAGTTTTTTATACCAATTGACAACACGATAAAAAACAACTAAAAATGCAAAGTTTAACCCTTAAAAAAGCGAAAATTTTCGCATTATGAGTTTTTCTTTTATAACGATTTTTTTAATACAGCTTTTTTAATTATGTAAACTATTCCATTTTATACACACTTCCATATTACAAATGTTAATAAATTATTTATGTAATTTTCTTAAGTGGACTCATCAGATAATCCCTCTTAATATACTGTGGTGTAAGGGATGAAAATTATCTATACTTTCATAGAATCGATACATATTGTTTTATAAATTATGATATCGAATATATATTTACACTGAAGCCAGTATTGACAAAAGCTTTTTTAATGAAACTTTTTTAGTTAAGGGCAAAAGTGAGATTTTAAAGTATTTTTTATACAATGTTAATATACTTAATGGAATAAATGTGTAATTTCAAGTGACCCTCCATTTGTAGAGTGGCATGTCCTATTCCATTTGAAACCTTCATTTCTCTATCGTTTCTGAAATGCACAAGTCACGTTTGATTAGAAACCATTCACCACAAATAAAAATAATCAGCTTTCCAAATGGGAAACATGGATATTTAATGCAATACTTGATCATAAAAAGCTTTGAAGGGTATTTTTGTGAATCAGAATCCCCTGTCGAACCACGCTTAAAATGTATTGTTATCCCTAGTTTAGGTTGATAATCAATCGTCCGTCAAATTTTGGAAAAATGTTGTCGTCTTAGTTTTGATTAACTGATACTGTTCACAGTTTACAGTTTAGACTCGAGGGAACGCGGCATTCTGGTCAATAAACCTTTTCGAGTCTAGCCTAGTTAACACTAAATTTATCTTTGTTCTCAGCCCAACATCAACATTAAAGTTAAAATTTCGACGAATTTAAGTTACAATCGAGTTTTTTTTGACAAACGCAATATTATATTATCATTTGTGATTTATTTGCGTAAATGTCTGATCGGAATTGCGTACGAATTTGCGTAAAACGCATTTACGTTGATCAGCCAATCCTCGGCGGTCTGGCGGGCCTGAGATCCAGCATTGGACAATGGCGTCTCTCGACTCACTAATCAGAGACCGCTAGATTATACTTCCAGCCAATAAATGAGTAGGCCTGACATGGTAGCCGGACAATTTGTAAACATCCATCGTATTTGAATTTTTTCGGAAATTATTTAATTAATTTGAAATAATTTCTTTCATCGAATATATATATTTACAGGGTGTCCCATATCATATATAAGATCGTCAATGGGTCTAAATTACAATTTCCAGGACTTATTAGAAAGTTTTAGAAGAATGAATCATTTTGTAAAATTGAATAAGGCTAATTTAAGAATTTTCTTGCAGGAAATGCTAGGTTTTTCAAATATTTATATTTATTTTGGCGAATTATCTAATATGATATGGGACGCTCTCTATTTGACTCAATGATCAATTTTCAATGGTGAAGAAACATCTTTAATTAAGTCAGAACGTATTGAATCTAATTGTACAATTACCATTATTTCAGATTCAGAAAATTTGTAAAATGATCACCACTACTCAAGGGGGTCAGCAGGTGACATATTGTAAATCTGTCAAATCATGAATTTAACATGAATTTGGTGATCTCATAGAAACGATTTTCGGACCCCACCCCCCGTATCCTTTCAATTTTGTACATGCATCTCGTATTTAACTTGTCTTTAGGAAAGATACAACATACCTTGATTCAATTCATGATTGTTATAATTTATCTCTTCATGATTAAAATTTTAATGATACGTAAATCTAGGTGATCCAGACCGCCAACGGACAGCAGATTATTGTTCAAAACGTTGGTGGACCTAGTCAAGGGGTTCAGCTAGGGACTGGTGAAGGAATTCAGCAGTTACAGGTATGAGATAACTCGTGAAATTTTGATTTTTATTTGATTTAAGGTTTGAATGCAAAGAATCTGAAAAATTTTAATTTTAGATGGTTTGATTGATCGATTGAATGATTAGATAATTATATTTCTAACCAGGTACTTCCTGTAAATGGTCAGCAACAGCTGATGCTGCAGCAACAACCTGGCAGCTCGCAACCTCAGATTATACAGGTTAGTCAATGTTAGAACAGGAACCCTGGGACAATTTTACCATTTAAAAAAAAAATTATTCAACAAACTTGATGTTTCTTGTCAACAATTTGTTTCATTTTTAACGGATTTTACAATTTTAACGTTTTGAATGTATTGTTTTAATACGTGAAGATTTGCTTGTTTGCACTTAAGAATTAATCTTTAATTAACGTTTGGCGCTGAATCACAGGACAGAGTTAAGATCTAACTTTTATTTATTCCACCTACCCTGCCACATTAATCTGTCTTGTAATTAAAACTTTTAAATTAAATCCTCTTTCTTGAGTTTTTGAAAAATATGTTTTCTTCCTTAATAGTGGGATTATTGTTGCCAAACTATTGTTTTATTTGCAGACTGCAGATGGACAAACTTTAATTTATCAACCAGTATCAGTGGACAACCAACAGGTAAAAATGGGAAATTATTGTGAATCTCAAGAACTACAATTTTTCTTTTCTATAAATATTATTTTAATAACTCTTGGAGTAGAAGCAGTTAGTGAAGTGTTTTTGTTATTAGTTGTTAAGTTTTTTATCAAGAATTTTAGCTTCACAACAAATTTTATTATGATCCAGATTTTGTTTCAACAATGGTCTCTTTTTTTTCTCCACAGATTTACTGCTTGACCTCTTGATGTATCATTATTATTATTGAGGCCCGGGAAAGTTTGAACGATAATGAAGTGATTGATACCTCTCTTGAAACATTTTTCTTCTAAATTAGTTCTGAATTTAAAAAAAAATTCTGGATTTTTCTGATTTTCTGATGTTCCTGATTGCAGGTCGGAGGGAGCCAGTTGATCCAGCTGCCTGGAGGATCTGCGGGACAAAACGGGAATAATATTATTATGATGGTTCCAGGGGCCGGAACTGGACCTAGGATACCATTACCAGGTCATTCATTAATTTTTGCATGTTTTCTCTCATTCATCCTTGCCTCCTTTCATTCATTTTTATCCTTCCATTCATTTATCCGTTCCTTCTTATCTATTTATTTAATTCATCCGTTTCTCCTTTCTTTCATTCTGTCATTCATGAAACCCATTTAAAGTTTATCAGTTCTTTCACCTTATTATCCTTATTTTGTTATTCATTCTTTCATTATTCCGTTCCAATGTATACTTAGACTTAAAACTCAGATATTTAATGTTTGTTGATAAAAAATTGAGGACACAATTAATTGAAATAAAAGATAATTTAATGTTAACTATCCAGGTCCTGAGGTATTAGAGGAAGAACCACTTTATGTAAACGCAAAACAGTATCACAGGTATTTAGGGGTAGTTTAATTTAATGACAAGGGTTTATTTTCGGAGATGTATTTTCAATAATTGACACTAACATTTTTGAGGTTTTTCGCTGAAATATGATCATTTGTAGATTTTTAAGGGTGGCTTGTAAATACAATTTTAAATCTAGAACTTTGGTAAGCCAAAGCTAATCAAGAGGCGGAGATAATACTATTATACCTAAATACTGATACGGCGGCAAGCTAGAGCTAAACAAGAGGCAGCGATAAAAATATTATATTTAGAAAATTAAAACGGCGGTAAGGTAGAGCTAATCAAGAGGCGGAGATAGTAATATTATATCTAGAATACTTAACCGGCAGCAAGCTAGAGCTAATCAAGAGGGGGAGATAATAATATTATGTTTAGAATATTGAAACGGCGGCAAGCTAGAGCTAAGCTAGAGGCGGAGGGGCGGATACCTAAAGAACGGAAGAAGTATCTCCATGAATCTAGACATCTACATGCTCTTAAACGAGTTCGAGGAGAGGGAGGTCAGTAACAGAATTAAGATAAATTTTTGTTTAATTTTCAAAGGAGATTAACTTATATCATAAATAGATACTATAGATAGTTTGAATAAATTGATTGAACAAGGTTATAGGATGATTGATTGATTTAATGAATGGTTGATTGATTGATTGATATTTTGATTATTTGATTAAATGAATAGATTGATTGATTTATGATTTCTAGGCAAATTTAATTCTCCTCAGCAGAAAATGATGAAACTTCACCACCAGCAGATTCATCAACAAACAGATCTTAAACTAGATTTCCAAAGTAAGTAGAGAATCATCAAAACATGCATTATCATACGCATCGGAATATACTGCTAAATATGCATCAGAATATACTGCTAAATATGTATCAGAATATATTGCTAAATATGCATCAGAATATACTGCTGAATATGCATCAGAATATACTGCTAAATATGCATCAGAATATACTGCTAAATATGCATCAGAATATACTGCTAAATATGCATCAGAATATACTG